CAATCACAGTGCACTGGGTCAGCTGGCCAATCAGAGCAGACTGCGCTTGTCAAAGGAGGGGGCTTTGTTAAAAACTACGTGTTTGAGAGAAGCGGGGCATAGAGGAACTACAATAATGTACAGTATTTGAAAAATAATGTGTTTTTTGAACATTAAAGCATGTCAACATATTCTGTTACAGCAAATGCACAAAATAATGATCTTTAAAATAGCATCATATGACCCCTTTAACATTGAACTGATTTCAGCTTGCACATGAAAAATGACCTTCACACCACTATTAAAATGACCATGGGGTACAATCACCAATCACTTTTATGTACTTTTATGGCACTTTTTTTCTAATTATTCATACAATTTATTAATGTAATGTAATGTATATATAATACACACACATACACATGTATGTATGTATATTAATTCCTTCTATACAGTTTGTGAAGTCTCTCTTATGGGAATGGGGAAAAAATAGCACGTTTTTTTTTAATGTTGATTCTTTTTCTTTGTCTTTCAAGATGATCGTCCTACAGTCTCTCCTTAAGTATCAGCCAAGGGTGCATGTGATTGAAATAAACAAGGGTGGAAATGAAGATACAAGTGATCCTGATAGAGTACAGACATTTACCTTTCCTGAAACACAATTTAGAGCCGTCACAGCTTACCAGAATACCGATGTAAGAACTAGTCTATCGCTGCATTCATTTACATTACAAAAAAATGCAATATGAACTTATTTAATGAATATGTTTCTTTACCTCCTCAGATAATTCAATTAAAAATTTATCACAATCCATTTGCTAAAGGATTTCGGGATAATTATGATAAGTAAGTGCATTTCCATGCAAATTAATGCATTGATAATTATTTCACTTACAGGATTTCAGATCTGAATTTTAATTTGGACTTGACTGCAGAAATTAACATGATGTATTTTAAATTTACTTTAAATAAAATGAATTTAATAACGATAATAATTTGATTTAAAAAAATTATTTGTGGTAGCACTTTATATTAAAATATCCATGTTGCACATATTGCAAATTAAAATGAATTACAAATGCAATGGGTCTCGGTCACTAATAATTGCATGTATTATTTTATATTTATTTTTTATATTTATTATTTAAATTTTAGTAAACCCAGAATATGTGCTTTTTGCATACGTGTGGTTTCACTTGTTCCTAAATGTTTTCAAAAATTTGTACTAAAATTTAGTACGAAAGTTTTAGTACAAAACGTTTGTGCGCAGATTTCACGCAGAAATCTGTACACACGCATGCTTAGTGAACAGTAACATGGACATTCTAATGTAAAGAGTGATTTAATTTCCTCCTGGTTTATTTCTCTATGTCTCCAGAAGTTACAGTGGCTCTGACACTGACCAATTGACCCCTACACCCAGTGACTCTCCACACTCTCAGTTGCTGCCCGGCTCACAGTACTTAATGACAAGCGCTTTATTTCAGGAACAGTTTGTCAACAGTTACACAACGCCCTGCTTTCCAACTCTGACCCCTGACCCTGGCACTACTGACCGAACACTCAAGTTTACTAAGAGCCTTGTGACCTCAAACCAAACCCAAGAGAGCAGCACGGCGTCCGGGCAGCGCTGGTTTGTGTCTTCCGCCGCTGCTCCATCATACGAAACTGATATTAACACAGCAGCTCTGCTCTCTTACACCACAGCGGGGGTCAAAGGACTGCCTTTCACTGGTTGCACTAGTAACAGTTTGGATTACTACACCAGTGCCACTGGATGGGATTCACGGGGTTCGCAAGAGAACAGCAGTAAAACCATCTCAAATCTTCCTGGTTGGGTTCTAGATGCGAATCTTGAAAGATCAACACAATCTAATTACATGCCTGAGGATGGAGATATATGTTGGAAATAGACCCATCAGCTCTTGGAGTTTCTGAGGAGCTGGAAGGTAAAGATGCCACAGATTTGACATGGTCCAAAACCCAATCTTCCATTAAATCGGTCAGTTCCAGTGATTTAAGGATTTTGGGAGAGGCTCAACTGAAAAATCCTTCTATCAATTCAGTTTCAGATGTTCAGACTGCAAAAGACACGCAGGTGTCACAGAACAGGGCCAAAAATGAGATTATAGAATCTGACTTTTTTCATTTGGACGCTCAAACGTAAACCTGCCTGGGCTGAGTGTGCAATTAAAATGTTATTAATATAGAAATAACATTATTATGAAGTTTTATGTATACATCATTTATTTATTTTAATGTTACACGGCACCATTGAAGATGAATGAGAACATCTCCAACTGTCTAAACTTGATGTATTTGATGGCTTATATGGCTATATTCTTTTTTTATTATATTATTATTATTATTTGTGGTGATGGTAATATGAAAAAAAGAAAATAATTATTAAGACCAACATCTGTATTTGATACAACAAACAGCCTAAATATAATCAATCTAGATAAATTATTATTAGCCTAAAATCATGTTTAATATGAAAATGTGTTGATTGTGATCTATCAAAAGAGTATCTTGATTAAAAAATAAAAAATAAAATGTATTAGATGCTTATTGTGAAATATAGACTGTTAATTTGAGTTTATGACATATGACACAGACAACATAAAACTGTGAGATGTTGTGTATAAATAAATCCCCCACAAATCTTTGTAACTTAAATTACAGTTTAGATTCAGTTGCTGTATTATTTGAATGACAACGTTGCAAGTTGGTGTGATTGTATTGAAATACTTTGCAATACTGACACCTAGCGGCGAATGCAAGCTCGTACTATCGAAAGGTGTCAATGCAGGCAGTTCAACAGGTTTTGGAACCCCGGCCGGTTGTGTGTCCTTGACCTGGAGGAAATAATAGCTAGCAACAGGATTAAACACGGCCGCAGAGTCTATCACTAAATACCGCTACAAACTCTCTTAGTTACAGGGAAGGGATCAAGAAAAGAATGAAGCTCATTCAGCAGCTGTTGAATCCGAAATAACCAGAGACCACCTTCACACAGCAACTCTGCTGGCCAGAGCATATATAAGTATTTTCGACGCATATCTTAAATAAATACATAATAAAAAAGTACAAAATAAAATAAACAGAATATGATTTTCATAAGGGTAAATAAAGTATGTTGAGGGAACTATTTCTTTATTCCAGCACAAAAAGGTCTATTATATATACAGGTGCATCTCAATAAATTAGAATGTCGTGGAAAAGTTAATTTATTTCAGTAATTCAACTCAAATTGTGATTTTTTAATGCACACAAGGTGGCGCCAAAGGAACAGTTTGTTGTCTACTCAGTCCTTGAAATCCAGCAGTAAAGCACTATACTGTATGCCTTTGATAGGAGATGGGTTTATGTGAAAGTGGGTTTGTAGATAAAGCATATTATTTATCTTACATGTGAGGGGATAAGCATTCCTCCAGTTTGGATCAGGTAGAAATATCACTGAAAGCAGTGCATGTTCACGTTTTACATTTAGCCTACTTTAAGACGAGTAAATGTTAATCCCCCCCCCCCTTCCATGCTGGATGGATTTATATTGAAAGTCATTTTATAGGCACGCACCCTAGTATGCTATTGGACATTTCTACTGTTACTGACCAGGAACAATAGATTTGTTTTTGTGACAACATGCCCAATAGTAGTCGTGACTGTATTCTGATATCGAAATCTTAGTTTAGGGCACTTAATTCATATTTTATTTTTTAATATAGGCTATTTTTATTGTTTGGAACTAGTGGTTTAAAAAGCAACGTACATTGCAAGAGAAAATACACACGTTTTACTTAAAACAGTGAAATAGCCTATAGCCCATGCGACAACTAGCCTCCTATTTATTAACTATAAAAAGTTTATATAATATAATTTTTTTTTTAAGAAATCGACTTTTTGGTATAATCAAACAGACTGATTCAGGCTATTAAAACATTTTTTGACTAAATTAAATCCAGTTTATTTAAGCTAGATGTCAAACCTGAAGCGCGACATTTTGTTTTTTAAGTTCGGAATTTTTTTTTATAACTCAGCGCGCTCTATACACGATATTCTCACATTTCGTAAACCATATAGGGAGTGTGGACTTACTCCATGGATGATTTTGAGGACTTTGCAGAACACTTGAATACCCATGGTTTCTGTTAACTCACGTGCTGCCGGTCGCAGCTGCGTCACGCGAGCGCAAATGACGCGCTGAAGGAGCGCAAGCGAAGAAAGAGCGAAAAAACCCGACGGTTACTACATTGCTACCGAAACCGCATCAACATACATGACATTTTCTCTACGTTCCTAACAGTATTTTAGAGAAAATCCTCAACAGACGAACAAGACAGTATAAGCCAGCATATCAGGAATGGATGTGAAAGATCAAGGAGCGCAGATGGAGCCGCTGCTTCCTGCGGTAAGAACCTGTTTCATCTTTCATGTGGGGTCCGTCAGTGGAGGGGCAATGACATGATGCTGTTGTGTGTTGCGGAAAAAGGGTTTCGGTGGTTCGAGCCGCATTGGGTTGGAGCCCATTATGGCCATCATTCACTCACCCCCATTGGAAGACAGTGTGTTTTAATTATTCATTGCACCTTTAATACAGACTCATTTACTGCGAAAATGGCTTCACGTTACATGGATACGGCGTTTGTAGTATGACACGGTTCACACCTGCTTGCGTGGCTTATGCATTTAATTACACACGCATATGACGTACAGTATGGGCTTTAGATGCATGCATGTGCGGTGCGCTCAGCATTCTCATGAGTTGCATGAATAAAATATACCCAGCATTGCTGTTGAATTTGATGAGGCCTTCACGTGTGATGATTTCACCTGTTCACCTAGTTTACATTGATTGCCATGTATTTATGGGTTGGGGAGGCCATATAGCCTATAAAAATTGCTCAGTAGCTCACCTGGTACAGTATATTGCATTTGCGATGTGAAGTGCTTGCGAGTCCTGTGAAACATAAATCATGATTGAGCTTAAAGAAGCAAGCTATATGGTATGGTTGCTTCAACAAGTGTTTTTCTTTATTCCACATTTGCTTTGTTAACACTGTTGTTTAGGTTTACTGTATGTTAATTTCAAATGCAATAGAGCTTTAAACGTTTAGCGCCACTCCAGACCTGCCAGGATAACCACAACAACCAGTGTAATAAAACATTGCCAGATTTACATCTGTTTCAGATAAAACTGAACATAGTTTAGCACTATTCACTGGACATTACATTTTGAAATTAGCTCAATTTTATGCAAGATGTAACATAATAATTTTCCAGAAATGTTGCCACTGGCACCTTTTTCCAGTGAGCCTGGGTTGGATAGTTCACCCAAAAATAAAAATGCTGTCATCATTTACTGATATCATTCCAAACTTGTATGGCTTTCTTTTTTCTATAGAATATGAAAAAATAAGATATTTTTAATAAGATATTTTTTTTGTACAGTATTTTGTCCATACAGTGAAAGTCAGTGAGTTCCAGTTGTTTTGGACCTCATTGTCTTTTGATGAACGGACAAAACCAGCTAAAAATGTTTTTCAGAATATCTTCTTTTGTGCTCAGCAGAAGAAAGAATGCCATACGGTTGGGATTGGCATAGGGTCCAGAATTGGTTGACCATTCATTAGAACTTTAAGGGTCATGTGGTTTACATCCCAAACACCCGGATTAATCAAAGTATATTTCATGGCTTTCCCAGCCCGTGTTTCATTATCTCTTGGTTAAGTGACCCCAAAACAAGCAGCACTCTCTAGCCTCTTACTGTAATTGCTCTTCATCCATGTAAAAAAAAAAATAATAAAATTGATTGGATCAACGCAAAAAAGCAGCAGCCATCTTAACACGGGCTTTTAGAGCCAGGGTCTCTGCTCCTTCTGACAGTTTGGTGCTGGAGTTGAGAAGAGTCGGCCCACATCCTATTGATTCTGCCATCCATTCAGTCCTAAACAAAGACACACAATCTCACTCGGCTCCTCAGAAGATATTCACACACACTGTGTTTGTGGTTGCATTCCTGTCTAATCCTTACGTGCACATTTCAAAAGGTTTCCAGACATTGCTAAGAGGAGTGTACACTTACAAAATCCTTAAGTACAGTTTGTGCATATGCAGCAGCAAGGCTTTATCAGCCACTTCCACCATTTGAACACCCATATGAACTTTATCCATGTACTAAAAACATCAGAAAACCAGACTTTCAGTACAGCGTAGTGTAAGACAAAAAGCAGATGCTGACCTCGGAATTACACCAAGAGAGTATTTATTGTGTTGAAGAAAGTATTGGAAGTTTCCATTTAGGATAACTCAAATTCATGATCAAGTTGTCATGTTGTCAATCATTAGGAGCCATGCTTTTTATGATCTATAATGTAGCAGCATTTGATATGTTTCACAAATGTATTGTTCAATCTTTATTTCATACATAAAAATGGGCCAAAAGGGGACATTTACAATCAAGAAATCTTTTGTAACATTAAAAATGTCTTTGTCACTTTGATCTATTTAATGAACCCTTGAATAAAAGTATTCATTCAATTTTAAATATTTTTTTCTTCTTTCTTTCTTTTTCCCCCTGAGATTATATATGGCATAAAGGTTGAAAAACTAACAAGAAGTTGAAATTGTAAAAAAATGCTGCTCAAATATAACATTTAAAAAATAAGATTAAGATTGAATATGTTTTTTTGTGATCTTTTGGCTGAGCTGAGGGACAGATTGAACCTATCGTCACTGGCAGAGATCCAGCGGTCGGTTGAGTCCACTGGGCTGGTACATTTCACTGTAGCTCTCAATGTGAGCTGAACCGATGCCAGCGATCTGAGTCCCAGAGGGCCTTTTCTGACCATCATAAGTCACTGCCCGCTTAGCTGCAGCTGGTGCCCTGAATGCTGATGTGTGTGTGTGTGTGTGTGTGATAAAACAGGTCAAAGAAGAATGAATAATCTTTGTCTATCAGCCTTAACACAGAAATGAATACATATTTTTTTTATTCTTCATGTTAGTAAATTTGTACTGTTCCTTCATCTGATCTTCTGAATCATGTGTTCAGTCTTTAACTCTGTGGTTAATCTTTCAAGACCACATCAAATCAAAATGAGAGTTTTGTGGCTTTTAGTGCACGTCTGTTTGTGTTGAGACCATTTATATTTTAGTAAAACGTAAAAATGATCCTTCTGCGAATATACTCATGCAGTTGTTCTCTTTCGGGACCTAAAATATGGATGTGGTGCGGACAAAAAAAACAAAACAGGATATGATATTGTAGAGTGGACCGTCTTAACTGTGTGTCAAGGTCAATAAATCTCCTAAAATATAATTTGACATTTTACGTCAAGGCGAGGTTAGTTCAGATTGTAAGATGTCATTTGGTGCAACCAAAAACTTCATGGTATTTTATGAATTAATAATTTATGATATTTATTAAAAGTATATTTTATCTAGGAAAAAATATTGTTTTTAAAAAAAAATAATGATTAAGATGCACATCACATGCATAAACACATTTTTTCACATGATGGTTACACCACATGACATTTTTAGTGTCATTAAATGTCAACATTTCATGAAAACGGTACAAAAGAAATAAACATGCATACAAAGGTTACATTTCTAAGAACTTGACACATGTTTTATACTACCTTATTAAAAATTTACCTTTACCCAATTTGGATTTTCCAGTCAAAAATGACCGCCCTACAAAAAAATTGCTCATAAATTGATATGCTATATTATTATCAAATATTGAGTTCAATCTTTTTGTCAACTTATTTTTGTTCAATTAACATAGGTTTTGTATTTTTTTTTTTAACTGATTGGTTGTAGGCCTCATTGATAATGAGCTTATGCACCTCAGTTTTTGAGTGAACGTTGCTAAAATTAAATGTGGGGTTTTTTTCACTCCAAAACTGAGGTGCATAAACTCAAATCACAATTGTAAAGCACTGGGGAATTGTAAAGGTGGGGAAAAATCCCAATAAAGTACAAAAATGATTATAGTTGTCATCATACCCTGTGTGAGCAAAATCATAGGTTTAAGTCCAATGCAATAACATTTTCTCAGAGTCAAAATGACCGGAACACAATATTAGGGTTAAAGGTTTTTTTAAATGTTTCATATGCATATGCTTTAAAAAAAAAACATTGCATGTAGGTTGTAAAAGTCTGAGCTCTTTCTGACTGTAATTGATGTGTGTTGTGTAAATACTGATGGTGCGAGTGATTTTATTGCCTTTCTGCTCCTCTGCAGGTTCAGAGTCCTGCTAGTGATAACAGGGTGAGTCCTAGTTCTTCATTTCCTATGTTATGCTTTTCACAGCATGTGCACAATGCAGTGGAATTTGGATTTAATTACTGTTTTGTTTGCAAGAGTGAGCGAGTGTCTGGTTTTCATGCATCCAAATGATGCGATTCATTGTGACTGATTGGCAGTCAATTTTTAATGTCTCCATGTGAGACTGATGGCGCTTGATTGGATATTTGTAGACACTCAGTGAAGCTTGTCACTAACTTAATTCAAATCTCCATCCACAAGCTTTTGGTAACCAGGAGAGTTTAAGAGATATTGAGATATTTTAAGCACCAATCTTTGTTTAGTCTAGAGCAGCCGTGAGTCTAAAGAGAGAGAGATGGGGCAGCCTTTAGTATTTTGTCATATAGTGAGCTGGAGAGGAGCCATTGTGAGCAGACGGCGTGACCAAGGGAAGCATGCTGCTCTGGAGGACATAGAGCTCTGAGACCTGTGGGGAACCTCAGCCTGCTACATGTCTCTATAAGCAGAGATTTATAGGACTACATGCTCGATTCATCACTTTAATATCCAAACACACCCTGCTTAAAAGGCCACAGTGCTCGTGGGAATGTCATCATCCAAGAGCTGGTGCTCAAATGATGCACCTGAGAGGTTTTGCTGGAAATGTTGATTCACGTGAACTTGTAAGCAAAAATGGCATTAATGTGCAAATGTGATGAGTAGATATGTGTTGATCATGATTAGTATAGTGAACTAAAACAGGGCTCGCAAAATTTCAAAATCCCTGGTAGCCCTTCGGGCAGGTACTCTTCAGATTTTGGTAGCCCGAAAATTAATTTAACTAGCCCAAATAAAAAAGGCCTTTTTTAAAAAAATATAGAAAATCAGATAGGAATTCCTAAATGTCAATCAAAAATATTTTCAATACACAAATATCAACAAATATGAAGGAAGGAATTTTATTTCACTATTTACAGGGTATCTGCAGAATTTGTAAAAATAAATTTAAAGCAATCTATGACCCATTTTAAGAGCTGCACAAATAAAATGAACACAGTATGAATGGGGTTGGACAATGTCTGCGGTAACATACAGTACTGAGCTATAAAATTACATGATTTACAGTTCAGATACAGGTTTTCACAAAAACAAAAATCTTATACAACAGCATTTCAGTCTTTAGACCATTTTTATGAAAAGGGATAAATCAAGCATATCAATTATTGTCAATTTAAAACGTATAAAATCATGAGTTGATATTTGCATTGATCTGACCATAAACAGCAAGAAAGGCTTATTGGAAATGCAAATTCATTCTCTGCCACGAGGTGGCGCTTTAGGAGCGCTGAAATA